CCTGCTTCTTCCCCTTCAGGGCCCATGGTAGCAGCTGCCTGCACAACATGGAGTCTCCCAGAACAGAAAGAGACTTGTAAAATTCAATACAGCCACAGGCTCTCATAACTCTCTTGCAGATTTTTCTGCTGTTTTCTTGGGGATGGAAAGCAAGGAAGGGGGAATTATATACCTAGAGTGCTGAGACCTGGCATGCACCACCTCCCAGGCACAGATGTTGCCCTCTGTCTGGAGCATTGCAGCTCTTCTCTTTTGCTGTTGCTTATTAATTAAATTCTAATGTTGCTCTTTAGATTGCCCTGGGTAGGCTTTGAGAATCATGCCTTGGTGAGGCGGGGAGCCGGGGGAGAAGAGGAAGAGGAGGGATGATTGCTCATCTTTACTCTTGCTGTCTGGCTGGGAAAATATGTGCAAGAATGAACTGGCATAGCTGCCCTTTGGGTTTCTGTTGCTGAGTGTGTCCAGGCAAAGACAAAAATGTACAGAATAATGTGTGTCAGAAATTAAAAAATCAAGCAAGCGGACTGTATGTTCTGTGAACGTGTGTATATGTATGCGTCTGGTGAACCTGCAGTTTTCCCTATTCTCATGCCGTTTTGAAGAGTTTTTATCATCTTGCTGTCATACATAATTTTCATTATAATGATCTGTTATACATGGAGAAAGAAACCTGAGAGCAACAACTCTCAACGAAGTCTGCCTGTAAGGAAAACCACCAAGTTCTTAACTTGAGATGAAGACAGGTCAGATTTCTGAGGAAGGGCAATATATTTTGTTAGACCAACTGATGTAGCTGAAAAAAAAAGAAACAGCTCTTGAGCGCATGTTCCTCTCCACATCTCCAATGATCTTAGACATTTGTGGCTACAATAACACTATTTAATATTGTTTATATAAATCAGCAGCTTTGAGTGACAAATGGGATCCCCTGTAGAGGCAGGCTATGGCATCATATACACATCCCTGTCTGGTCTCAGAGACAGTGAGGGGTATTTATTATAATAAAGAAGGTGAGTGATCACCTAGCTTCCACTCTTAACAGTGCAGCTTCACTCATATGAGCTTCGTTAGTTCTTCAGTCATGAGAAGTCTGAGTTTTATTTCCGTAACAGGAGTTTTGGAGCGTTCTCTTTGCTCTTTGCTTGGTCTAAACCACGAGTGCACATCAACCACTCACACTTACGCATGTTAGGTATTGACTAATCAACATAATTGTCATTCATTTAGCTTGAATGAAATCACGGTGTACTTAAAGCCTTGTCTTTCCTTCAGTTTGCTCATAAAGGGAGTTTGCAGTATCTTGAGTAGCCTTTTTTCAGTATTTTAAACTAGTATTTTCTCAGCCTTTTGGACATGTTTAGCTACATAGACTTAAAGTGAAAGTGGTTTTAACCAGCTCAACCCATAGGTGTGAACAAATTCTCAGTATTTGAGTCTGTTCCAGAACTGAAATCTTATTATAAAAGACAATGATAAAAACAGTTCTAATATTAAAAGTAAACAAGAAAACTCAAAGTTTTTAGATTTCTTTCAGGGTCTTCCATCCACAACAGTGCTTAAATAGAACAAAAATGCGTGAGTTCAGCCTTTTTTTTTTTTTTTTTTTTTTTTTTCTGTTCTGCAAGTCAACTTTAATAAATATGTAGGAAAGCTGGGAGGGGAGGAGGCGACCCAAACTGAACGCCAGCTTTTCTCCGAGGTCTCATATTGCAGAGCACTTAGATCAGTAAAGTGAGGGCTAGCAGGACTCTCCTGTGTTATTGGACGTTGCTAGTCTAATTTCTCTGGAAATGTACTTCCCAAACAGTCCCAGCTGTCCCAGGAATGCAGTTTAACCATTGCTGTTCATAGTTCATGATTGAAAAGAATTAAAAAATGTCATTCTGACTTAAGATTTATGCACTGAGATTACGACATCTGAATAGCAGGAGTTAGGTGAAGTTTGTATCTGCTCTTATACTTGGGTTAGACCCTCCATCCTTTCTAAGCGGAATGACACAGTACTATATTTTTTGTGCTTTAAAATTAAAAAAAAAAACACCAAAAAACATTGCTATTGTAATAACATTTGTGTTGCAGATGATAATTTTTTTGCTGGTTGCTGTTGAAAGCAGCTGACAGAAAAGCTCAGGGATGTGGAACTCTAGGGAAGATGAGGCTTCAAGAATAGATGCTGTATCTGGTCTCCTATTTTAGTGTCTCAGAAGGATAAAATTTCTGACTATTTCTCTAATTATAATAGAGAGATTTCAGTCTGCATTTGAATCTAACTTTGAGCGTTCCTAACAGTATGTTTCTTCTACTGGCATCATTTGTTAATGCATTAATGCACTGATGGTGCCAGACTTTGGATCCTGATTAGAACTGATGCACAGTACAGACCTGCAGAGCTAATAACTTCTGAGTCCGTACCACAGACTTGGGTACCTAGGTGGAAGAAAAAAGACAATTTATTTTTAAGGCAGCACTGTCCTGGAGTAGCTGTTATGGAGTCTTCTAGTTAGTTGATGTTGAGACTTAAAGCTCCCCTCCAAGCAGAAGAATTAATTGCTTCTCAGCACCTTTTACCTACTATGGTTGATTGCTTAGAGTGTGCCAAAAAGTTCTGGGCTTGCATAAAAAATGTGAAGGTTTTTGTTTCTGTAAGTTGCTACAGCTCCCGCGCCTTGAAATATGTCAGCAATCTTAATTTGATCATTAGTCTGTATAAATATGAAAGTTGGGGCATGCAAAAGGCTTTCCCCCTAGGATAACCATATGTGTCCATACATTTGTGTCTAGGTTGGATGGATTAATACGTACGTGGGGGGGGGGGGGGGGAGGGGAATCGTCGTGCTCTAGGTGCTGCTGGAGTGTTTCCCCTAGCTGTCCCAGGGCTACCATTGATGCCTAGCATGGGCTGCCAGTGGGGATTTTCTCTCTGCTTCTCCCCAAGGAAGCCACAGTCCCGAAGGAGCTGTTACAGAGACCAAGAGCAGAGGTCTTTACAGGCAGGGGCTAAGCCCCATGCAGCCGCTCACTTGCTCTGCCGCCAGTGGGATGGGGAGAGAATCGGAAGGGTAAAAGTGAGAAAACTTGTGGCTTGAGATAAAGACAGTTTAATAGGGAAAGCAAGAGTGGCGCGCACAAGCAAAGCAAAACAAGACAAGGAATTCATTTGTTCACTGCTTCCCATGGGCAGGCAGGTGCTCAGCCATCTCCAGGAAAGCAGGGCTCCGTCATGTGTAAGAGTGACTTGGGAAGACAAACGCCATCACTCCAAGCATCCCCCCCCTTCCCTCTTCTTCCCTCAGTTTATATGCTGAGCACGATGTCACATGGTGTGGGATATCCCTTTGGTCAGCTGGGGTCAGCCCTCACGGCTGTTTCCCCTCCCGGCTTGGGGTGAGGAGCAGAAAAGGCCTTGACGCTGTGTAAGCCCTGCTCAGCAGTAACAAAAACATCCCTGTCTTATCAACACTGTTTTGGTCACAAGTCCAAAACGTAGCACCATACAAACTACTTTGAAGAAAATTAACTCCATCCCAACCAAACCCAGTACACTTAGGAAAGGATAGTTCGTTGCAGAAACAGCCTATCCTGGTTTTTGTGCCATATTTAGATAGCCATTCATTAAAATGTAATTTCTGTAGTTTAGAGTGTTTCGTACAAACCTGGTGGGAGCAGAAAACATGTAACCCAAAAATAAGCTTTAGTTAGTTGTTGGCAATGGCAACACCAACAGCTCAAAACCAAACAAAACACAGAATTGCTGTTGCAAAGAGCTCGAAGCCAGAAGTGTTTCCTAAGGAAACATCAGCCAAATAGCCACTACCTTGTGCTGTTGGTCTGTAGCCCAGCTCTTTGTCCTTTGTTTTATTTAGCTACAGGAAAATAATTGAAGCGATGAGTCCCCATTCTCCAGTTCTATAAACTTTCTTTTTTTTTTTCCCCTTTCTGCACCAAAATAAATGTTTTTGTGAATAAGTAGAAGGCTGCTAGGGCACCTGTCCCTCCAGGGGATAGACCGAAGACTCATTTCAAAGTAGAAACTAATGTCATGCATAAGGGAAAGTGTTCATTAGTTATCAGCAGTATTTGTACATTTAAAAATAGTTATTAGATTGCTATAGTCCTGTAATGTGTCTTGATGCAGTGCAGGGAAACCTGTACACTGTTGCAAGTCATGCATAAAAGAAATTTTGTGCAAGAGTTACATTTAAATTACAACCATGTATTGTTGTTAAGCTTGTGAATCCTCACTTCTCTTACTGATTTGCATGTTGTATCTTAGCCTTGCGCAAACAAGGCAGGTTAGGGGCAGCATCATGGGAAGCAAGCAAGAGATGAGAAGCAACATCCTCAAGAGGAGCCCACAGGGAATCGGGAGAACTTTGCTCTTTTCTTTCCTTTGCCAGAGACCTGCTAGACAAATTTAAAGACCTCAATGTCTTGGGTTTTTCTCTTTGTTTAAAAATGAAGCAGAATACTGCAAAGCATTGTGTACAATACTGTAGAGGTCTGCAAAACATTCTGAAGTTTAAATACTAATATTTTATTGTAATAGTAACCTAAAAATATTACCAGGGTGCAGATTGGTTTGTAAATGCTCTTTTTTCTTCTGTTTGGAAAAGCTGTACGCTTCTAGTTTGGGTGTTAAGACTTCAGTAGGGCACTTAAGCACGCATTTGAAATTAAGCCATGTGCATTATTAGTCCTTTTTGGAATACACAAAGCTATTAATTAGGGCTTGTAGCAAGACTGTTTGTTTGTCATACTTTAGTATGAACAGAATGTGCTTGGGGCGGGGGGGAAACCCTACTTTTCAAGCACATACATGTCCTGTTGGTAAAAATTAATAAATAAACCCCCTCCAGTTAGTCATGCAGTAGTGTGACCTTCCAGCTCTGAGGCCACCTCTTACCCTGCTATGTGTAACACTAAAGTAGGTTATGATCAATATGGTTCGTGCAGTAAGTGAATGTAATGATGCTAATGAGCCATTTCTTTATAATGATCAGGTTCTCCAGCCCTGCCCAGCAACATGGTATATTTTGGAAGCTCTCAGGATGACGAGGATGAAGAAGAGGAGGAGGAGGAGACAGAGGACGCAAAAACAGCCACAAACAATGCTTCATCATCATGCCAGTCAACCCCCAGGAAAGGAAAAACGCATAAACATGTACCAAATGGGCAAGGTAGGTCCTAAATGGCACTGTTCTTCCACGCTGTCTATTAAAGAAATTTATGAGCTGAATGTGCTTAATCCTTGTCCGTCCTTCTGGGTCTGACTTGAAAAGGATATGGACCATAATGGGAAAAGGGAGTGAGATGTAGTGTTAGCATCTTCTGCTTTAACCTGTTTCTCCTGGCAATCTGAACTCCATCTGTGGCAGAACTGTAACTGCAGGGCTGGAATTTATATATATACACACACACTGGAGTTATACACACACATATATATATATGTATAGACACACATAGTCACTCTCTCTCTGGCTTTTTTGAGACTGATGTTTAATCTAGAATGTTTTTGTTTTATCAAAGTTAAATATAAGCATCCACAAGTGTTACCAAAACGTGTGGCAGGGGCAACACTTAATTTCTCATGTGCAATATTGATACCACAATTGCAGTAGGTTAAGATACTGTATTCATGTTGTTGATTGAAAGATTTTATGGAAGCAGCTTCTTCAAGTCAGTTATTCCTTTGCAAATCAACAGAAGCTGCATTCATTACACAGTATTTCTGTCATGACGTCCTCGTGCCAGATCTTGATATCCGTGTATGGATCCATGTATGTTGCAACATCACCTAATGTAAAATGGAAGACCTAAAAACCACGCTGAAAATTTTCTGAGCCTGCTATAATGCTCCACTGGCCAAAGTCCTGTGTGATGTGGTTCTTTTTAGAGAAAGAGCTCTTATAACATAACAACTTTGTGCCCTCTTTGTCTGACATTATTCGAAATGGAGCCTGTGCTCTCTGTTCCCTTCCTCAGTATTAGTTTACCATGAAAATCTTTCTTTCTGGTGACTGCCCATTCAGCTCTCCTCCTATTAAGAGGAGGACTGGGAGGAAGGTCTGTCTACAGCGCACTTTTGGAGAGATGGTTGTGACTTGAGCCTGCTTTTTTTTTTTTTTTTTTTTTCCCCCCCCTTCTTTCATGCTACTCTCTGCTCTTAAGAAGAAATTAGTAGATCCCGATTACTTCACTGTGCTTGGTCCTCATCTCTGCTTTTCAAAAGGGAGTTTTCTATAAAGGATGCCCTTGTTACATATACCAAAATTATTTTTCATTACTATGTCTGAATCTGGTTTTTATTGCACACCCAAGCTCAAAAACTCTTTGTGAAGCACTTGTGGAGAAGTGCAAGGTGACGTTATGCCTAATAGCATTTCAACTGTCAGCTGCAATCAGGAGCTTTAGTGCTGTAAAAGCCATGGATCAAAACTTGGCACTTTGGATTGATTTCTAAATAACCCCCCCAAAATAACAGACACAAAACTCTACATATGGAAAATGAGATTGCACGTAACAGAACTGCTGCCTTAGAGTTTTGAATGTGATATATCATTACAAAAGAAGCTGATCGTGTTCCTTGAGAATGTCCCAGATGGCAGCCACTTTGAAATTAGCTCAAAACCAGAGACACCTGAAATCTTAATTGGGGGTAAGTAAAGGCAAACTTAATGAGCCATCTAATGGCTTCATAATCTTTATCAATATAGATCAGAGTGAGCATAAATGAAGCTGCTGCTTTAATAGATCTGCAAAAGACCTTTATAAAATACATAGGAGACAATGTGAGATGTTTTGACAAAGGTGATGAAACAGGAATTCCCAGAGAAGGCAGCTTGTTCTTCTTCGTCATTGTAATTTCTTTTTTTCCCTTTTTTTTTTAATTAAAATTTCCTTACCCAGGGGTATTCCCATTTTTCAGTGTCTGTTATTTTGGTTGACAGCCAATAGTATTTTTGTTTCCTGTGAATAAAGTAGATTCTGGTTCATGTGTGTCTGTTTTAAATGAGACCACACACAAAGGCAGACCAGGGACGGGTGCAGCAAATGAACTTAATCTAGCGTGAGAGTCTATTTTTAATGAATTAAAGTCTTTTGTTTTTAATATAAAATGTGTAGTCAAGCACTTTGGACCTGAAAATGCTAAGCATTTGCTATGACATACAACAACAAAGGTTCAAGGCTTGATTAATGTCATTAGACAGTGTCAAATAATTGCTTTCTACTACATGGGGGCCAGAACAACTTTCCTGGGTGAAGTCATTTGTCAATATCCTCTTCTGACGCCAATATGGGGCGTTATTAGGAATGCACACCAAACTATTTGTTATAACCTAGCCTGTTGAGCCACCTTTTGAACAGCTAACTCAATCGGAAACACCTAAGTATGAGTAAGAAGCACGTATAACACATGGCATAGCTTGGTGCATGAATTGAAGTAGTTAGCTCAACTGACTTAGAATCATAGAATCGTTTAGGTTGGAAAAGACCCTTAAGGTCATCAAGTCCAACCGTAAACCTAGCATTGCCAAGTCCATCACTAAACCATGTCCCTAAGCACCACGTCTACCCATCTTTTAAATACCTCCAGGGATGGGGACTCGACCACTTCCCTGGGCAGCCCGTTCCAATGCTTGACATCCCTTTTGCTGAAGAAATTTTTTCTAGTATCCAGTCTAAACCTCCCCTGGTGCAACTTGAGGCCATTTCCTATCGTCCTATCGCTTGTTACTTGTACTTGGGAGAAGAGAATGCTCCCAACCCTGCTACACCCTCCTTTCAGGTAGTTATAGAGGGCAATAAGGTCTCCCCTCAGCCTTCTCCAGGCTAAACAACCCCAGTTCCATCAACTGCTCCTCATCAGACTTGTGTTCCCACACTGCTTTCGTAGATATATTTAAAGCATCAGATTGCTACCTGTGCCTTTTCATCCTCCTCTCTTAGTACTTCTGATGTGCTGCACACATATTGAACTGATAAAGAGCAAAGTAAAATGTTTGGCAGGAGAAGTGTTTATCCCTCACGTTCACAGGAGTGCGGAAAAGGGATATGTAGCAATGTGCAAGTCTTTCCTTCGTGCAGTATCTTAGTGCGGGCAGTGATAGTTTTGCGGTTAAACCGTTTCCTAAGATATTGCTGTGGTTGTGACAAGGGAAAATGGTAGAGCTGTGCTCTTAAAAATTGGCTTCATGTCATTGCCAAACTTCAGCTGATTAGGCCGGGTCTGACATATGTTAAGCTAAGTTAGCAGCAGTTAAAGGCTTGGATGTCATTGGTGGCGATTTGTGCCTTGGTTAGAAACTAGTATTAGTTCTGCGTGGGTGTCTCTCATGCTGTGTGGGATGTTCTGCATGTAACTCTTCCCATTACTGCCTTTTTCAGCGTGCTTAAACTTACAATGAACAATTCTTGCTAAGAGAAGATACTTTTTCAGTATCAGAATTTTTCAGGTACAGATTTTCAGTATTTGCAAGAGAACTGTTCTCTTGTAGAGTAAAATGTGTGAGTCATTCTTAAGGTATGATCTCACAGTACGTGTCATAGACTAATTCAGGTCAGAGAAGACCCCAGGAGGTCATCTAGTCTCACCTCGTCCACAAAATACCAGTGAAGACTTTTCTGACAAATTCAGCAACAAAGTTGGCAGAGGTTTGTGCTTTTAGTTATATATGTCTTTTAAGGAGGGGGAGATTTTAGAAGCTTTCTAAAACTTGATGTGGAATTTTGGCCCTAATAAGAATTATTTTAATTGAGTTTGCATTTATAGCAGGGTTAAAATGGTGAAAGGTCAGAAACTAATCAACTGAATCACTTGGCCTCCATATAGCTACTGACTTCAAAAGGATATTTTCCCAGCTAAGAAACCATATGAACATTTAGTTGGAATAGAGAAATCCCTCTTGCTGCTTCAGTCAGGGATTTCATCTTTTTAAAGTACGTAGTTCCTTTTTAACTTCAGACCTTCTAAGTAAGTTTGTGGTGAATTTCAAAATTAACATATGGAAAGTTACGGATGATATGGTGCTGCATATTGTTGCAGCAGCTAGAGCAGAGGTTCAGATGACTGTTTGTAATTGCAGCCCTGTTACTGACCCTTATGAGTGTGGGTGTAGGAACCCCGTAATTCTCGGTGTTTAGATCCAGAATGCCCAGCCACGGGGTACCTGTGTGCTGCTCAGATGGATATGCTTATTTTCCAGCTTGCATTCTGTATGCATCTCAAATGACCATCAGTCTATCTGAGACTATTACACGGCTTTGAACGCAAGGAATTCGGTGGAAGAAGCAGGCAGGAGCATTGGCTTAAACAATGTGGTTTTTCTTCAGTGTAGTTTCCAGGTGTGGGGAGAAATTTCTCAACCACAGCCTGGATGACAGGGCATCTTGCCAGCATGGAGGAGGAGATGGAGAGACATTGATCTATTAGAAAATTGACCTTATGCAAAGGGAGGAGGGCGTCAGTCATCAGCTGCTGCAGGCTGACGTGCTGGGAAAGCAGGTTCTCCGCAAGCGAGCTGTACTCTGCTTCCCTGGGGGACAGGGAGGTACCGAGTCTAAATTACATCCCCCCACTGCTCGGAGGAAATTCCAAGTTGTAGGTAAGAGGGTAGGCTTAGGTCTCTGTTTCTTTAAAACTAATTCTTTGAATTCCTCCCAAGTAAATAAATCCTACTTTGATTTCATTCTGTGGCACAATGGAAGGTTTTCTCTGCAGGCTCCTGAAGGAAAATGTTTGCAGGTGCCAAGTCTTTTGTTAGGCAGGCTGGGATCAGGAACTGGAAGATGCAGTTAGGGAGTTGCTGGGTTATCGGTCCCATCACAAAAGCAAAAGGGCATAGGCGTTACTGTACTTGAAAGGGCTTGTGGACTGGAAGAGGGCCTCAGGAGGAGCAGCGTACACAGATACAGTTGCGCAGACAACTTTGAAATTGCACGCAGCAGGCTACAGTTCCTCTAATAATGGTTGGCTAATTTCCTCAAGAAGGATGATTGCAGGATTAGGTATTTCTCACACCAGCACAGCAGTTCAAAGGTGAAGAGGAGAGCACATCTGGGCCAGCACACCTGGGAATGTTGTGTTTGTCTTCAGATGCCCAAAATGGACAATTAAGTTCTAATTTACATTTAGGAAAACAAAGTTAGCCATCATTATTTGTAACCAGATTTCTTCATG